TCCAAGCATCAGTAATAATAGAAACCTCAAACTGAGCCCATGCATCCTTCTTAAGTTCTACAACTTCCTTCGTGGCACTCACTGCCTTTTTTAAAAAAGGCTCTAAAAGCTCACATGGGGTTGGGGGTTTCTTCCCAAGGCCAAATTGGCCAACTGCCTCTATCGCAGCATAGAAGCTGCTTAAGCGAGCGGTATTGAAAGGAATGCCCGCCTCATAAAACCATGTAGCAAGATGATACGCAGCTCTATCTCTCTCTTTCTTCTTGATTCTACTTTCAATGGTGGTTTGCTTTTTTGTTCTCTCCTTCAACCTCAGGGTCAGGCCGAGGTAAAAAACTACGAATAGGGCCTCTAACCCAAGGCTTCTTAGTCCAAGAACCAGAAGCAATTACAACTCCCTTACCCTTTTACCTTAATAATAGATTGCTCAACCTCTTGACATCCCTCCATTTCTTCATCACTATCATCATCATCAAAATGGACCCGAACACCAAACCTAATCTCTGTTATAGAGGAAAATCTCTCATCTTTTTTCATTTTCACCATGTCCAAAAAATTGTTTATTTCCTCTTTAACAGCATCAGGGGTCTTTTTACATGGGGCAACATTCCCCCTGATACCGGCAAGATATTTCTTGAACCAGTTTATGCCCCCTTTTGTATCATTTTCACAAAACTTGTATCTTATGCAATTTTTATCATTAGGATCTGGGTTATAGCCATATTTCCAACCGGGATCACCACTCCTATTAGATCCTGAAGGAGACATCTCAAAAATAATGCAAATTACTAAAGCAATAAAAAAAAAGCACACTAAAGCAATAAAAAAAAAGCACTTACTTTGAGTTCGATTGCTCAATCTTCAAACTTCCACCTCAAAGATGCTTCTAAATGCTCAAAATCTTCTAAAAAAAACCCTAATAACTTTGCAAAGCATTAAAAAGTAAATCTAATATCAATGGGTGATGTTTTGATCAATTTTTGTTAACTTTTCGATCCTAAAAAATTAACCAAAAACTAGATTTTTAGGGGCCTTCTCTATTTAAAATTGGCTCCAACAAGTTCTAGGGTTCAAATGAATCTAAAACCCTAATTTTTTGCCCTTAAAAACAAAAAAGATGACCAAAACTGCCCCTACCGAAAACAATTTCCACCCTTGGGCGGCCGCCCAAGGCTAGGCTGGGCGCCCGCCTAGGCGGGTTCCATATCGCCTACGTGGCCGCCCAGATTGGCCGCCTAGGCTTAGGCGATGCGCCTAGGCTTGGGCGATGAGCCCAGGCCTTTAGGCCGCCTAAGCGCTAGGCAGTCTGCTTTTTGAATCATTGATCATCATCATTCATCCTCATTTGCTTCCTGGGAGACAACAAGGACTTCCTCAGCCTGCTCATCAGAAAGAAGCTTTAGCTTGCACATCACCCTTTCTAGAATGAGAAGAACCCTACTCCTTGGTCGAAAGCACATGGAAACACCCTAATGATGGAACCTGTGTTTTCTTACAGTGGATCATTATCCTTCCCTTCTCTACCACTAGCCATCCATTAGGCTCACTTGAGGAAGTGATATGCCTTTTGTCCTTGGCAGATATTAGTTTTGAGCATGTTTCTTTTGGCCATGTTTCATGTGACCACAGATTGGCTGAAATTGTAGGTAGAGGATTTGTGTCCAAAGAAATGATTAAAAAAATGCCAATCCGGATCGAAAATTACTTGTCTAGATCAGAATCATTCAAGGGCCATCCCTATTCCTGGTTCGAACCAGCGACTTAGCCCTATATTATGTTAAACTCCCTCCCCCTTGGTTTTGTTCGTTTTGTATTCCTCTCTTAGAATTGTATAGAAGATTTGGTAAAAAAACTCAAAATCAACAAAAACAAGGGATTGAATTTCATTCATTTCTTTACATGCCTGGTCCACCATTATTCTAATTTCTCTCTGGTATTACAATGACTTTTTGTAATATTAAAGGCATTTTGTTCTTTACCCTTTATCATATCCATATGAAGAAAATTTTGATTTGGAATCCAACTCAAAGAAATCGATTGTATGAATTTTGGGGTTTTCTCCCTTTTGAGCTCGATTTTGAATCAGTTTTGAGCTTTAAATATCAACGAAACTAAGCATATATTTTTTCTTTTTTCCTTCATTTTTGTCTTTTTTATTTCACCTGATCACCATTCGGATCATAATTTGTGGGTGCGTAGTCGACCCAATCGTTCCATGTTTAAAAAGACTTGTCCTAACCTTTTGCAAAGAGAACCTGTTAACGACACGAACTAGTAAAACAGCTGCTAGTAGTACTCCTTACCATACCTCATTATTCAAATTCCTTCGGGAAGGATCCCTTGAAACCCATGGGTGCACAAGCTCTACCTCAGGCCTAGCACGCATGCTAGTTGCCTTGTCTATAACATTGGGCTACCTATTTTTGATGTGATATGACAGAGAACCCCAACTCCAAACAAACATGTGGAAGACTCGGGAGTTTAATTAAAAAAGGAGAGATCGTTGACCTTCCTTGGAAGAAGAGATATAGGGCTTCCACCTTTTCAGAAAGACATTGCATGTAAATGTACCAATATCCAAAGAAAAAGAAAGAGCAAAAGACAAAAAGTGAAAATGATGTTATCTCTTGATGCAACGCTACCAATAGAAAAACATTGAGAAAAGTTAATGCACAACAAAAGCTAGGCCATGCTGCTTATATTCTATTTCGCTATTAAGGGAGTGTTATATCCCTCAACTTTGCCATCGAAACAGTATTTAATTTTCTTTTTCACCCAATGCATGTCAATCAAATTTTTAGCTAATTGCAAAACTGATATCCATGTAAACCAATAGATTCGGTTCGGAAATGGACAAGGAGACGTGGGATTCTTAACTCTGTGAGCTAGGACTAATAAAGAATTTCATTAACTAGAAGAAAAGATACAACCATAGTTATCGGGATCAAAAACAAGGTCAGATACCAGATCAGGATCGGGACCACGAATCGAGAGATGCACAAAGATCCATGGGATAGGGGTCCAAATACATACACCGTGAGTTAAAGGGATCGTGATCCCAAATTGACGGGAACACGATCCAAATTTGTCCAAGATCGAATGATAAAGTATATAGGATCGAGGTTCATCCAGCTTAGAATTGAAGCTCCCCAAGAGCACTTAACTAGGGTACTCTAGCTCAAGAAAAAAGTCCATTGAACGATATGATTAATGCCTTCTTTTAATTCAAAAATTAAAGTATCATTAGATATAACGAATCCCATAAGTGAGAAGTGAAACTGAAAACCCAAAATGAGGATTCATATTTCAATCGTCAGGTATGAAAGAAGCTCTATAGCTTGCTGAAAATGTTGCATATTTGTTTTCCCTCATTTGGGTCCTTTCACTTACAGGCGATTGCACATGCAACTAGGCAAATGCCGTCTAGATTCAGAGGAAAAAGGGGTTCAGAACCAAAGATGATCAACGTGAAAAGGTTGTAACAGTCAATATGGTCAACGAGGGGGCATTTGAGACAGATAAATTGTATAAAGTGTACCAAACTTCTAGTAATCAAAATAAAAAATGAAAAGGATTTAGGGTAGGACATGGCGAAGGTTTAGCTTTACAGCTGCTCTCCTTCATCTGCAGGTTCCATGACACAATATGGCAGGCTCTTGTATGTTATGGTGTTTAATTTCATGACTTAACAAGTTCAAAGTTCAAAATACAAACTTCAAACCCTAGTTGCCATTGTGGGCTTCAGAATTGTTCGTCAACTGGTTTATCTCTATATCGAAAGCATTTCAGATTTCAGAATTTTTAGAGAAACATGCTCTTGACCAGAGAGAGAGAGACAGAGACAGAGATTATGGGCCAGCGAGTTAAGTGAGGATGGTAGGGGAAGAGGGGGTGGGTCGTCAGTACATGAGACATAAAAAGTGATTGTGATCTTCGATACCAATGTAAAAGAAACCTCATTCCACATTAATGGAGGCTTGATTCCACTTACTCATGGACCCATGATTTGCATGAAAGGGATCTGGATCCATTAAACAAGGATTTAGAACCCCAATTTTGCAGATTGAGATCCTTCAATTCAAAAAAGGCCTGGAATCAAGATCTCTTGTCTTGGAAGGCAATATTGAGCTTCCAAAGCTGGAGCAACCTCATTCCCGGGTGATCCCGATAACTATGGGAATAACAAATGAAGAAAAAACAGTATTTAATATATTGGCACCTTGACTTCCTTCCGTTGGTAGTTGTTATACCTTGTATTCTCCATTTATTATTTATTAGAAAAGAAAAACCTTTATATTTGTTGTAGCTTCTCACCCACAACGCAAGAATAAAGAATAGTGCATTGAAGAATAGAAGGATACCCCAAGGGATAAAACCAAATAAGACGAAACCTATCAACTAGAGAAAGAAAGTGGCCTTTAATGCGGCCATCCTTCTCGCTTACCTTTCAAAGGAAAGCCCGAGTTTGTATCCCGAAGCGTATCCTTTGCATCCCAATCTTAGGTGTCAGCCTAGAGGTCTAGCAACTACTCTGAAACTTCAATGTTCATAATGGAACTCTTCCACAAGTTAAACCTTTGTAACTTTGTTCCCAAACAAACTCCAACGATCTGATAACTAGTCACAACTTGTCAGCTATTGACCATCAGCTTTTAAATGAACAGCACAAATCCAAATATATGAACTCACATGCCATGAACATATCGATATCTGCATAAATATGTTCATAGTGGATAATCATGACGAGCATAACTGCCCATGGTTGAGTATCATCCATGCATATGTAGGAACTAGGAACTACTATTTTCATTACTCCAGTCATTTCAACACAATTCAATCTCGCATGCAAGTGCCAGCAAGAGTACACAGAATATCTAAATGCATGCAGATAATCTTTAAATATACAGAAACAACAGCTCAACCCAGAAATAAAAGAAAAAGGGAAACAAAAGGACCAAGTCAAAATTTCAAAATCTAACTTGCATTGTGCCAAAACTCACATTTTGCATAGATCTCATTGACTGTCTTGAAGTCCTTCATGTCAGCAAGCCTGTCCAAGATCAACTCATAAGTCTTTTTTGCATGTAAGTCTTTCAAGAGAAAATTATAAATAAATGTCGTGGTGTCAAAACCATACAAAACTGTTGTCTTCACAACTGAAGAATAGCTGGCACCACTGGCTCTCAAAATTTCTCCAATATTCTTAAGAGCCTGAAATTTTTCCAAATGCAAATAAGGAAAAAGTAACACTGCTGGGAAACCCTCGAGTCACAAGATCATAATACCATCACAAGTTGATAAAGGTACCCAGGCCACAGTATTCTTTATTTTAACATTTGTCATAAGAAACAAGAGATCATGGTATAACTAACAATTCAGAAAAATCTTGTTAACGAATTTTGAAAGTAACTAATCAGGTGTGCATTTAGCACTAATATCAAGGAGAGAAGGATAGAAAAAACTCCTGGTACGGCAGAAAATGGCTATGTTAAAAAGTCACAGGACTTTGCTTACTAAGTCATCTTTCAGTAGAAAACTGCCGCGAAAAATTGGTATAGGCTAACTTTAGGATGTCCTCCAAATTCTTCCCCCGTTAAAACTTTTAAATGTCATGAATTATGTTGCCATCATTTACTGGTGGCCTACTAAATTCAGATTATAGGAGTTTGAATCAAACTTTGACATCTCTGAACATCCGCCTTCATAATGAGGGATCAAGAACCCTAGAATCCTTGTTGGGAAGTACTTAAGAAACATCTTTTCATTAAATAAAATGTTGCATCTGACCTTTGCAGGTATATGAAGTTTTGGATAATTGTTAGTTCAGGAGCTGTTCAGGTTAAATGCTGGCTAAAATGGTTCTTACCAACGCACTAATTAAATCCACTTATTTAGTTTCCGAAATAAGATTTCCCTTTGATACATGAAATAAGCATTCATCTTTTTCAGAGAGGTTGGCAGATCGAAACTGCATCGTACAACATTGGTGAATTCTTGTCCTTCACTCCAGGTTACTGATCATAGTTTATATGGGGAACTCCATATTCTATGAGAAAAATCAGAGCATTGCAAATATCAGCTAAAATTAAAAAGTAGATTATACGTATACATAGCATCTAAGAAAAATTAGCTGAACAGTGAAAATCTAGGTGAAGCACATAGTTGCAAAAGTATAGCTAGGCAGAATAGATGCTCTTTCAGAATCGAAAGCGCAAACAACTGGAACCCAATTCACCTGCTCTGTCTGCTCCTCTATTCCATCAGAGATTAGCTTCCCTGTCTGAGAACATGTATTAAGAAATTAGCAGGCAATTGATAAAGAATTCAAAGTAAAAAAGTGGATCTGCGGAAATATGCCCAAATAACATCATGAAGTCCAACCTCAGGAACAAGCCCCAATGCCCCAGACAAGAAAAGGAGGTCATAAGATTTAATTCCCTGAGAATATGGTCCCACTGCTTTTGGGGCTTTTTCTGTTTGAATAACCTCAGTTTTACCTAAAATCAGCATCAAAATAATCAAGACAGACATAAGAAAGTCAAACCATCATTCCAGCAATATAAGAGACAACATCAAGCTAAACTTAAAGAAAAAAAGAAATACTTAAGAACATTTAGCATAACAATTAAGATAAGTAAGTAAACCACAATTCATAAAACCTGGGGTGCTAAACGAGTAGATTCATTACATAATAAACCCTATTAAGATTTTCCAAACACATAGCCATTTGAACAAAAAATCAACCTGATTTACTTCATGCCCTGAGGTTGATGAGAAAATGAATCAGCTCCAAAATGTAAGAGATTTTAACACTGAACAGAGGAAAGCATGCATAAAGAGTGATTGTCTAACTCCAAAACCTTGATTACACTCAGTAACCCCCTCCCCCCATAAAAAAATCACACACACACTTCCTACACTAGTCTTTCTAAATACTGACATTTCCTTCTCCTATTTCTGTTGCTTCTCTTGCTCCCATTGCGAGCATTTATATTTTATCCTTCATAGGAGAAGGAAGTGCCAATCCGGTCCCCTTGGTATATTACTATTTTTTAAAAAGAAAGCAGTCTAAGTTCTGCAAGTTAAACTAGAACAATCCAATTAAGACAATTCATGGAGTGGAGTCAAAGAAAGGGCCGCCAATTTGACCAGTTATTGGAGCAGGCGGCAAGAACCACATCATGAGACAATTTTTATCATATTAACAGAAGTACATTTAACACGTCACGTTGTTTCTTCATGTGACTATCCAGTGACATATCAAAGAGAAAGTTTAATGTGACAAGTAACCACGGATTCTGCAAAGAAATTGTGATACCACAAGGAGCAAACCATAGCAAGCAATAACATGACCATTCTGCAAATGATGTATGAGCAATTGTTTATTATTATAGACAAAAGTATCCAACTTTTGTAATTCCATACTTCAAAAGATTCATGATAAACTAGATCTAGCAAGTAGTTCACTAGAATCATGGAGGAACAACTTGCAAATCCCAGGGGAAAGGGATGATCATATAACCAAATGCTTTTTTTCTGACAAAGCCCTTAAGGAATGCGGTGTGGCCCTAAAACTGCAGAATAAGCAGTTATGTAATTCTGAAGAGCAAATATTCTAAGGAAACAACTATAAAGGGTGCTGCAAACGCTATCACTACAAATTTCAGGTCTTTTAAGATGTATACATTATTAATCGGCAAATGCTGTGAACAGATAATAAAATAAAGCCAAAAGCAGCAAACGAAAGAAAGAGAGAGAGCGAGGGGGGAGAGAGAATAGGATAATAATGGTAGTGGAAGACTCTCTCTAATCACCAAGAAGACTCCACTCATGCCTCTTCTGGTAAGACAACAGGAGATGAAGTTAGCATCCCTAGGCATATAATCTGAAACAGCAGGTGCCATGATACAGTAATTTGAAATCCCTTTGCATGAAATCCACCAGTCTCATAAAGGAAGAACCTCAATCCCAAGCAGAAGGTAGAGTAATTCGAAATCCCTTTGCATGACATCCACAAGTCTCATAAAGGAAGAACTTCAATCCCAAGCAGAAGGTAGAGTTTAACGCAAATTTAGAATTCAAGTGGATGTTGTAACTAATGAAATTTCACTGCAGCAGAGGCTTAGGGTATCAGAAGTTAGCATTGTTAATTGGAGATGACAATAAAACATTAATTTTTTCACTCGCTAAAGAAGATGGCAGATCAGAAAGAAAAATTTGAGGTATTACCTATGCTACTTGGTGATGTGAATCAAATGTTAGAATTCCATTTTTTAAATTTACGGTATGAGCATGATTAACTAGAGAAAAGAAATTAAAAAAGCCACTTTGAACTTTCAAGAAATTTAAAAAGCCACTTTGAACTTTTCACTAGATTTTTCATGAATTTATAAGTATTTCCATCATTTTAATTGATTCTTTACTAAGTATCAACAAAATAGAAAGAACGAAAGAATGTGCATAATGCTTCTGCCAAAAAATTGATTGGCCTATGAGATTCACAACATGTTATACAGAACCTTCTAAATAAATAAAAACTTAGAGAAGTTGGGTGACGAAGGAGGAGGATAGAGAGAGTAGACAGACTTACTAGCAGTGTTTGAGATGCTCATGGAGTAGGACACAGAGAAGGGGGTTTTTGCTTTGCGATGAAGAAGAGGCAGATTGGAGGGGCGGGGGGCAAGAGAGAGGCAGCGAAGGCCACGAGAGAATGTGGCCTTGTTGAAGTCGACGATGGAAGAGGAGGAGGACCACCTAACACACCACGCCATCGCTGCTCTGCCCTCTTCTTTCCTGCTTCAAAAGTGTAGAGTGAGTCGACCGGACCCTCACCCTAGCCTTTATGCATGTCTGAACAATTGTTGTGCCTGGACAATTATTTGTGCAGGTAGGGGTGGCAAGGGGCACCTGGCCTGGCCCCACCCAATCAGCCCGTCCCTACGAAGTAGGGCTTGGGCCATGAAATGTGGGGCGTGATTTCTCTGAGGCCGTATAGAAAGGGTGCAGTTGGCATACGAATGCATCTGTAGGTGTAGAGGTAAGGGTGCGCCTTCAAATTTTATCATGGTGTATAATTTTGATGCAAAATGTTCTTAGGATTATCTCAAAATCTATTTTATATCTAATTATAAAATTTTAAATTTTAAAAATGATTAAAATCAAGTAGATCTATAAACATATGAAAATCTTAAAAATGGACGGTGTAGATAATATGTTGTAAAATGTACTATTTTCGAGACTTAAAATTCTTTTATTTTTCATACTCATACATCTCGATTTCGAGATGATCAATCAAAGGGTTTTTCAACATTAAAACTATATTTTCCGATGGATTGTTTAGGGGCATCCGTAGTTTTACATTATAAGGTAGCATCCTTATATAAACTTTTTCCATATAGAAATCAGTCACCTCCTAAAAATTTATTTTTAAGATGGATTTTTTGACCTAATATTTAAGTACATGTAATCTCTAACATGGAGATGATGAATATGGGAAAAATAAATAAATTTTGAAAATTACATAATTCTAATAAGAAAACATATGGACCATTAATTTCAATTGTTTTTATACCTTGGAACCACATATTGTAGAAATACAATCCAGCCCACATAAAACAAATTTTTTAAAATGTGACCAGAGTGCCAGACAAACATGGCCACAGGGTCAAGTAGGGCTGGGGCCACAATCAACCTAGTTCAGATGGGCATGCCCCTTTTTTTTTCTTAATTTTTTGATTTTATTTGGCCCAGCCCAGCCTTGCTAGGCCTAGGGCCTCTTTGGCTTGGTCCCGACCGGTCTGACTTGTCTGACCCTATAGGGGGCCGAGCCGGCCCATTGCCAGCCCTATGTGGAGGTAAAATGTCGTCCCAACCAAGCTCTTAACAAAAATTCATCTTACATAAAAGTTTGGGCCTGAAATGGTGGAAAATAATTTCCAATCAATAATATAGAAAAAGAGAAAACTATAGACTGATATAATTATATTCGGTATGAGAAGGTTATGAATCATTTATGGCGTATTTATTTAAAGGAAAAAGTTTATATAGAGCTTAGGCTCTAAACAATCAAATAAGAGCCTCCTCAAATTGATCATCTCGACATCAAGATGCATGGACATGACAAAAAAATAGATTTCAAGTTGTGAAAATAGTGTACTTTTTAACACATTTTTGGACTGTCAATTTTCAAGATTTTCAAGTTTTCATAGATATGTCGATCTACACTATTTTTGAAGCTTTAAACTTTATAAATAAAAATGAAAATATGTTTTAAAGCGATCAGAAAGATTTTCAATATTGAAACCACATTTCTCGACACTTTTAGAAGGTAGGCTCTAATTTAATTGTTTAGAGCCTAGGCTCTATACAAACCGCACCCTTGTTTAAAAGAAGGGTTGTCTCCAAAAGAGCAGTATTCCCCACTTCTATGTCATTTTCATGTTTGATGTACCGAAGTAATACAGTCAAAGGAACTACCATGTTCTAATTTTGAGGTTTGACTAGGGCCCAAAATTTACTTAATCCGAATCCGAAACTTGGATTTCGGATCCTATTCAGATCCGAGTATGTATCCGAAATTTGGATCCCGATCCAAATTTCATAACCGAATTGAAATTTGGGCTAGATCCAGGTACAGGTGTATCTAATCTGGATCCGA